GGGGAGGGTCATTGGGATTTTGGGGACATTCCCGGGGGGTCTCTGGGATTTTGGGGAGGGGTCCTTGCCTGGCGCGGGGGGGCCGGGCCCGGGGGGGTCGCTGGGATTTTGGGGACATTCCCGGGGTGTCACAGGGATTTTGGGGAGGGGTCACTGGGATTTTGGGGGGTCACAGGGATTTTGGGGAGGGGTCACTGGGATTTTGGGGACATTCCCGGGGGGTCTCTGGGATTTTGGGGAGGGGTCACTGGGATTTTGGGGACATTCCCGGGGGGTCTCTGGGATTTTGGGGAGGGGTCACTGGGATTTTGGGGACATTCCCGGGGTGTCACAGGGATTTTGGGGAGGGGTCCTTGCCTTGTGCTGCGGGGGGGCCGGGCCCGGGGGGGTCGCTCTGCAGCCGCCGCAGTTTCGCTTCCAGTTCCAGGTTGCGGCTCTCGGCCTCCTGCAGGCGCCTGCAGGGAGGGGACACTTGGGGACAGCCCCGGGGACACCCCCGGCCCCTCCCCCCGGCCCCACCGTAGCTGGGGACAGCGGGGGCAGCGGTGTCACCTCCCCGGGGGTGATTGTCACCCTGGTGCCACCCTCGGTGCCACCTCCCGGTCCCCAGTGCCACCCACGCCCACAGACCCGGGGTCACCTCGCTGTCCCCTCCCTGTCCCCGCTGTCCCCGCGGTGTTCCCTCGATGTCCCCGCTGTCCCTTCCCGGTGCCGCTGTCCCCACCCTGTCTCGCTGTCCCCCCCGGCCCCGCTGTCCCCTCCCGGTCCCGCTGTCTCCTCCCGGTCCCGTTGTCCCCCCGATGTCCCCGCTGTCCCCTCCTGTCCCGCTGTCCCCGTTGTTCCCCCGTAGTCCCCCCGGTGTCCCCGCTGTCCTTTCTCGGTCCCGCTGTCCCCTCGTTGTCCCCACCCTATTTCGCTGTCACCCCCGGTCCCGCTGTCCCCGGTGTCCCCCACTGTCCCCGGTGTCCTCGCTGTCCCCTCCCGGTCCTGCTGTCCCCCCGGATCACTGGGATTTTGGGGACATTCCCGGGGGGTCTCTGGGATTTTGGGGAGGGGTCACTGGGATTTTGGGGACATTCCCGGGGTGTCACAGGGATTTTGGGGAGGGGTCCTTGCCTTGTGCTGCGGGGGGGCCGGGCCCGGGGGGGTCGCTCTGCAGCCGCCGCAGTTTCGCTTCCAGTTCCAGGTTGCGGCTCTCGGCCTCCTGCAGGCGCCTGCAGGGAGGGGACACTTGGGGACAGCCCTGGCGACACCCCCGGCCCTTCCGCCCGTCCCCACCGTAGCTGGGGACACCGGGGGCAGCGGTGTCACCTCCCCGGGGGTGATTGTCACCCTCGGTGCCACCTCCCGGTCCCCGGTGCCACCCACGCCCACAGACCCGGCGTCACCTCGCTGTCCCCACCCTGTCCCGCTGTCCCCGTTGTCCCTCTGCGGTGTCTCCGCTGTCCCCTCCCGGTGTCGCCGCTGTCCCTCGATGTCCCCGCTGTCCCCCCGTTGTCCCCGCGGTGTCCCTGCTGTCCCCTCCCAGTCCCGTTGTCCCCTCGATGTTCCCGCTGTCCCTGCTGTCCCCTCCCGGTGCCACTGTCCCCGCTGTGTCCCCGCTGTCCCCCCGCTGTCCCCTCCCGGCCCCGCTGTCCCCTCCCGGCCCCGCTATCTCCCCGCTGTCCCCGCTGTCCCCGTTGTCCCCCCGGGTGTCCCCGTTGTCCCCCTCTTTACCCCCTGTCCCCGTTGTCCCCCGCTGTTCNACCAGTATGGCACCAGTATGGATCCAGTGCACACCAGTATGGCACCAGTATGGCACCAGTGTCACCAGTATGGCACCAGTATGGCACCAGTATGGCACCAGTATGGACCCAGTGCCCACCAGTATGGCACCAGTATGGGCCCAGTATGGCACCAGTATGGCACCAGTATGGACCCAGTATGGCACCAGTATGGACCCAGTGCACACCAGTATGGCACCAGTATGGCACCAGTATGGCACCAGTGTCACCAGTATGGCACCAGTATGGCACCAGTATGGCACCAGTATGGACCCAGTGCCCACCAGTGAGGGACCAGTGCACACCAGTATGGCACCAGTATGGTCCCAGTGCTCACCAGTGTGGTACCAGTATGGGTCCAGTATGGTACCAGGATGGTCCCAGTATGGTACCAGTATGATACCATTATTGGCCCAGTATGGGCTCAGTATGGTCCCAGTATGGTCCCAGTGCCCACCAGTATGGGCCCAGTGTCTCCCAGTGCCCACCAGTATGGTCCCAGTCCCTCCCACTCCTTTCCAGTCCCCCCCCAGTCCCTCCCAGTGCCCCCCAACACCCTCCCACTCCTTCCCAGTCCCCCCAGTGCCCCCAGTGCCCCCAGTTCCCGGTGCCGGCGCGCACCTGGAAGTGCAGGATCTTGGCGTAGGTCTCGAGCACGCTGTCGGCGAAGAAGGGCGGCTTGCCGCAGAACATCTCAAAGGCGAGGACCCCCAGCGCCCACCAGTCGCACTCGGGGCCGTAGGAGCGCGAGGGGTCCTCGACCGCCAGCAGCATCTCGGGGGACAGGTAATCGGGGGTGCCCACGGCCACCGCCGAGCGCACCTGGGGACAGCATTGGGGACATTGGGGACATCACTGGGGACATGGGGACAGGTAATCGGGGGTGCCCACGGCCACCGCCGAGCGCACCTGGGGACATCGGGGACATTGGGGACACATTGGGGACATCACTGGGGACATGGGGACAGGTAATCGGGGGTGCCCACGGCCACCGCCGAGCGCACCTGGGGACATGGGGACATTGGGGACATCACTGGGGACATTGGGGACATTGGGGACATTGGGGACATTGGGGACATTGGGGACATCACTGGGGACATGGGGACAGGTAATCGGGGGTGCCCACGGCCACCGCCGAGCGCACCTGGGGACATCGGGGACATTGGGGACATTGGGGACATCACTGGGGACATTGGGGACATCACTGGGGACATGGGGACAGGTAATCGGGGGTGCCCACGGCCACCGCCGAGCGCACCTGGGGACATTGGGGACATGGGGACAGGTAATCGGGGGTGCCCACGGCCACCGCCGAGCGCACCTGGGGACATTGGGGACATTGGGGACATGGGGACAGGTAATCGGGGGTGCCCACGGCCACCGCCGAGCGCACCTGGGGACACGGGGACATCATTGGGGACATTGGGGACATCACTGGGGACATTGGGGACATGGGGACAGGTAATCGGGGGTGCCCACGGCCACCGCCGAGCGCACCTGGGGACATTGGGGACATTGGGGACACTGGGGACATTGGGGACATCATTGGGGACATTGGGGACATCATTGGGGACAGGGGACACTGGGACATTGGGGACACTGGGGACACTCAGGGCATTGGGGACAGGTAATCGGGGGTGCCCATGGCCACGACCAAGCGCACCTGGGGACATTGGGGACATTGGGGACATTGGGACAATTCTCCAGGTGCCCGTAGGGTTGACATCTGTGTCCCTCTCTTGTGTCCCCCACCATGTCCCTGCCGGTGTCCCCCCCGGTGTCCCTCCTGGTGTCCCCACCCTGTCACCTCCGTGTCCCCCGGTGTCCCTCCCAGTGTCTCTCCCCTGTCCCTCCTGTCCCCACCATGTCCCCCCTGGTGTCCCCCAGTGTCACTTACGGTGTCTGTCCCGTGTCTCCCCCCGTCCCCCATGTCCCCCCAGTGTCACTCATTGTGTCCCTCCCCTGTCCCCCGTGTCCCTCCCCGGTGCCACTCACGGTGCACCAGCTCGGCCAGGTAGAAGCGCGCCATGGGCAGCGGCAGCCGGTCCCCGAACTTGCTGAGCAGCGTCAGCAGGTCACCGCCGATGTAGTACTCCATCACCAGGTACTGCGGGGACACGGGGACACGGGGACACGGGGACATGGGGACATGGGACAATGCAGTACTCCATCACCAGGTACTGCGGGGACACGGGGACACGGGGACAATGCAGTACTCCATCACCAGGTACTGCGGGGACACGGGGACATGGGGACATGGGGACATGGGGACACACAGGGACACCGGGACACGGGGACTATGCAGTACTCCATCACCAGGTACTGCGGGGACACGGGGACATGGGGACAACTGGGGACACCTGGGGACATGGGGACACACAGGGACACCGGGACATGGGGACAATGCAGTACTCCATCACCAGGTACGGCGGGGACACGGGGACAGGTGGGGACAACTGGGGACATGGGGACACACAGAGACACAGGGACACACAGAGACACAGGGACACACAGGGACACCGGGACACGGGGACAATGCAGTTCTCCATCACCAGGTACTGCAGGGACACGGGGACATGGGGACAACTGGGGACATGGGGACACTTGGGGACACACAGGGACACAGGAACACACAGGGACACAGGGACATGGACAGGACAGGGACATGGGGACATGGACCAGCATGGGGACAATGCAGTACTCCATCACCAGGTACTGGGGGGACACATGGGGACATGGGGACAACTGGGGACACATGGGGACATGGGGACAGTTGGGGACATGGGACAATGCAATACTCCATCACCAGGTACTGCTGGGACAGTTGGGGACAATTGGGGACACACAAGGACACAGGACAGCACAGGGACATGGGACAATGCAGTACTCCATCACCAGGTACTGAGGGGTCACGGGGACAGCTTGGGGACAGCTTGGGGACATGGGGACATGGAGGTGACACGGGACATGCAGGTGACATGGAGCTGATGCAGGTGACACGGAGGTGACACACAGGTGACACAGGTGACACAACTGACACCGGTGCCACAGAGGTGGCCTGGGCGACACGGAGGTGGCCTGGGTGACACACAGGTGACATGGAGGAGGCCCGGGTAACACAGGTGACACGGAGGTGGCCCGGGTGACACACAGGTGACACAAGTGACACGGGTGACAGCGCTGTCCCCTCACCAGGCACTGCGGGTCCTGGAAGGCGAAGTGCAGCCGCGTGATCCAGCGCCGGTCCCCGCGCACCAGCACGTCCCGCTCCTCGCGGAAACACGACACCTGGGACAGGGACAGGGGACACAGGGGACAGGGACAGGGGACAGGGACAGGACACGGGACAGAGGGGACAGGGACAGGGACAGGGACAGGGACAGGGACACAGAGACAGGGACAGGGGACACAGGGACAGGGACAGGGGACAGAGGGGACACAGGGACAGGGATGGGACAGGGATAGGACACAGGGGACAGAGGGGACAGGGACAGGGGACAGGGACAGGGACAGAGGGGACAGGGACAGGGACAGGGGACAGGGGACAGAGGGACACAGGGGACACAGGGACACGGGGACAGAGGGGACAGGTGACACAGGGGACACAGGGACAGGGACAGAGGGGACACAGGGGGAACAGGGGACACGGGGGGACAGGGCACACGGGGACACAGGGGACACGGGGACAGAGGGGGACAGGGGACAGAGGGGACAGGGACAGGGATGGGACAGGGATAGGGACAGGGGACAGGGGACAGGGACAGAGGGGACACAGGGGGCACAGGGACAGGGACAGGGGACAGGGACAGGGACAGGGACACAGAGACAGGGACAGGGGACACAGGGACAGGGACGGGACAGGGACAGGGACAGGGGACAGGGACAGGGACAGGGACATAGGGGACACGGGGACAGAGGGACAGAGGGGACACGGGGACAGAGGGGACACGGGGACAGAGGGGACAGGGATAGGGACACGGGACAGAGGGAACACGGGGACAAAGGGGATACAGGAGACAGAGGGGACACAGGGACACGGGGGACAGAGGGGACAGAGGGACAGAGGGGACAGGGACAGGGACAGGGGACAGGGGACAGAGGGACACAGGGGACACAGGGACACGGGGACAGAGGGGACAGGTGACACAGGGGACACAGGGACAGGGACAGAGGGGACACGGGGGGACAGAGGGGACAGGGATGGCACAGGGACAGAGGGGACAGGGGCAGGGATGGGGACAGGGACAGAGGGGACAAGGACAGAGACAGGAACGGGGACAGGGACAGGGAGGACAGGGACAGGTGAGGGCACAGGGACAGCGACACGGCTGCCACCTGCGCTGCCACCTGTGCGCCGCCCCGCCCACAGCGCTCTTGTCGCTGGTGTCCCCTCGGTGTCCCCTCATCCGCGGTGCCATCCCCCACCTCACGTCCCAGCGTGTCCCACGAGTGTCCCCACACATCCCCGAGTGTCCCCAAGTGTCCCAAACTGTCTCCAAGTGTTCCCCGAGTGTCCCCGAGTGTCCCTGGTGTCCCCAGGTGTCCCTGCACGTCCCCGGCGCAGCATGTCCCCAGTGTCCCCTGTGTCCCAAGTCCCCCAGTGTCCCCGGTGTCCCCCAATGTCCCCGGTGTCCCCTGTGTGTCCCCTGTGTCCCCGGTGTCCCCCAATGTCCCCGGTGTCCCCACCTGTCCCTGGCGCAGCATGTCCCCAGTGTCCCAGCTGTCCCCGGTGTCCCCAATGTCCCCAATGTCCCCGGTGTCCCCTGTGTGTCCCCTGTGTCCCCGGTGTCCCCCAATGTCCCCGGTGTCCCCACCTGTCCCTGGCGCAGCATGTCCCACTTGTTCATGATCTTCATGGCGTAGATCTGCCCCGTCTCCCTCATCCTCACCACGGCCACCTGCGGGGCACGGGGGTCACGGGGCTCGGTGCCACCCCGGTGCCACCCCCGCTGTCCCCGCGGTGTCCCCGGTGTCACCCCCGGTGTCCCCGAGGTGTCCCCGGTGTCCCCTGACCTCGCTGAAGGCGCCTCTCCCGATCACTTTGAGGATCTCGAAGTCTCCGCGCTGCAGCTGCAGCTCCCGGACCCGCGCGGCCGCCGGCTCGGCTGGAACCGGACCGGGCCGGGTCAGGGAGAACCGAACCGGACCGGACCGGGTCAGGGAGAACCGGACCGGACCGGGTCAGGGAGAACCGGACCGGACCGGGTCAGGGAGAACCGGACCGGACCGGGTCAGGGAGAACCGGACCGGACCGGGTCAGGGAGAACCGGACCGGACCGGGTCAGGGAGAACCGGACCGGACCGGGTCAGGGAGAACCGGACCGGACCGGGTCAGGGAGACCCGAACCGGGCCGGACCGGACCGGAACCGGGTCAGGGAGAACCGAACCGGAACCGGGTCAGGGAGAACCGGACCGGACCGGGTCAGGGAGAACCGAACCGGACCGGGTCAGGGAGAACCGGACCGGGCCGGACCGGACCGGAACCGGGTCAGGGAGAACCGGAACCGGGCCGGACCGGACCGGAACCGGGTCAGGGAGAACCGAACCGGGCCGGATCGGACCGGAACCGGGTCAGGGAGAACCGAACCGGGCCGGATCGGACCGGAACCGGGTCAGGGAGAACCGAACCGGGCCGGATCGGACCGGAACCGGGTCAGGGAGAACCGAACCGGGCCGGACCGGACCGGAACCGGGTCAGGGAGAACCGAACCGGGACCGGGTCAGGGAGAACCGAACCGGGCCGGGTCAGGGAGAAACGGGACCGGGTCAGGGAGAACCGAACCGGGCCGGGTCAGAGAGAACGGGACCGGGCCGGGTCAGAGAGAACGGGACCGGACCGGGTCAGGGAGAGCCGGACCGGAACCGGGTCAGGGAGAACCGAACCGGGACCGGGTCAGGGAGAACCGAACCGGGCCGGGTCAGGGAGAAACGGGACCGGGTCAGGGAGAACCGAACCGGGCCGGGTCAGAGAGAACGGGACCGGGCCGGGTCAGAGAGAACGGGACCGGGCCGGGTCAGAGAGAACGGGACCGGAACCGGGTCAGGGAGAACCG